TTAAAAAAAAAAATAAAAAAAAAAAAAAAAAAAAAAAAAAAAAAAAAAAAAAAGAAAAGCTTCATAAATATCGACTAATTTATTCATCGAAGTCGATTAATCGTCATGAATGAATCCAAGGACTCATCTCCTTAAAAAGATTTAGAACGAGGACACACACGGACGCGTGTGTGCCCGCGAAATTGCGAACGGACCCTTCGGAGAAAGAGAGAGAAAAGCTATTTTTATCACAAATGTGTCTGTGCGACATTTCTAATGGAAATCATACTCCATATTTCATATTCCATATTCCTTCGTTTATAATCTGCAATTCTTTAAAATCTCTCATCGAGTAGCGAATAGTAGTCGGTGGGAAAAATGTGACTACCGGATCCGCGTATATAACAGTTATCTTCGTTTCACGAAGTATTAACTTCCCCAGATGTAAACCAATTAGCACTCAAGTGCAATTCCTAAAAAGTGTCTGAAATTCGCGTGTGTAGAAATTAATATGCGCGTGAATAACCTTTGCTTTTAAGACTACAATAAATTTCTTTTAGCTAACGTCAGCATCTCTGCGAAGAATGGCGTAAAAAACAAAGAATGCAAATTCACACTAGGATAGATGATAAACAGTTTTATTTATTTATATGGAATTCTCGCGTTAATCATCGTCCGAAGGCCACGATTGATCCTCACTTTGCGAGGACATGAGCGTGACAAACAAGGATTTTTCTCAAGATTCGCAATTCAATCGATGTAAATACTTTCATACGATAATTAGAATAATCGGGTCAATCATCGGGTGGCATCGGCGCATAAATATGACATCGTATATTTCCCATTGATAAAAATAATTGTCATCATTTTTAACCGTTTTATTTCTGACGGCCATATCATCGGCGCATGCTCGCTGAGTAATTTCGCTGATAAAAAATGTATGGGTTTCGCGAAGTATGGAAGTATGGTCTTGAAGAAAAATATTTTTCCGCAAGTTTCCCTCCTTGCTTTTCTTTTCCATTGTTAGCTTTATATTTCAATTTTTTTTTATTAATATCGTTGAACAATTCAAAGAAACGCATCTATTCTCGGTCGCGTATTTAAGACGTTTAAGAATCGCGTTGGAGCATCTTTTCACTCGCATCATCTAAAAATATGTCGCGTGTACATGCGGAGGCGTCAAGACGACGAGGCGAGGTTCTCGCTTTTCTCTGACGAAGCCGACGCATCTCTTAATCAGTAATAGATAATATACGCAAAATTATCCTTTAAAATCCATCGTACGTCGAATGTCTAATGAATGGAATATCGATTGGTGCGTGTCTCGTGATCGCGAGACACGCGACGCGTTGCACTTTGACGCGACACACAACTCACATCTTCCGATCATTCCTTGAGTGTTATTAAAATTAAAAGTTAATTAATATAACAGGAAACATCAAGATGGAATTTTACGCGATCATTACAAATGAAAGATAATTCTCCATTTGATTTCTACAATTTCTGCAATTATTCTTCATCAATGGCATTCAAAATGAGATATACCGCATTGACATTCATCGGTAGTGTCACTTTAATCTTAACATTCACTGCTGCACATTTTCGTTCAAGGTTGCACGTCTTGCATTTTGCCGCCTGGTCTTTACGTGGAATATCGTCGACGCGAAAATACCGGGAACAAAAAAGAACGAGAAATACATTCTCGCGAAACGAGCGAGATCGAACATACTGTGGAACAAGACAAATATTTCCGGCGTATTTTTTTCGTAATTCGTGGCATATCTCGCAATTCTCTTCGTGACCCGCAGTTTCTTTCAATAATTGCGGCAAATAACGCAATAACGAAGGAGGCGCGCTTAAATACGTAAGCGTTCCACTGCCTTGCCCCGCTTCTGTTCGATTTAATTTCTTCAGAAAACCTACCTTTCTATAGCAAATTATTATATTTACGCGAAAATTTTACAAAAAGTCCGTACGTGTAATACCTGTGTTACTGATATCGCTCCGAAGCAGTCAGCGTCATGAATATTAATCCCGTGAAATATGAAAGTTGAGTCTCATAAATTTACGATTCACGGATTATGTATCCGAGATAGCGATTATACAATTAGAGCGATTACGAACGCGTTCGCTGCGAATAGCCAGTCGTGGCGCAATATTTTGTGCGAGACTTCGCGTGTGACGTGACTTGGCGATTCGCATGAGGAGGAACATCGCATTTGTGTCGATCTCACTCTTCACCTCGGACTTGGAGGAAATCTTTCCGCGACGCAGCTTCATCCGTTTCTCGACTCACTCGCGTTTACAATCGCAGCACAATTCGTCGAGGTGACGTTACGATTCGCCGCTCCTACTAAAAAATCGAGTCGATTCGCTAGAGCGGTTAATGCGGCTAATGAAACTCGCTTGTATCTGAGAATTGACCCATTCGGTGAAAGTTCCCGAGCGAGCTTGCTTTGGTCGTGGTTTTTTGGCTAAAGCTATATTTAACAATGATTTGACAATGTTTTTATTTCTCTCTTTTTATTCATGCAACGTAGACATTATTACGTAAACTGAAATTTAATGTTAACTTTTAATCAATTAGTAATAAGGTAATAAGGTTTTTCTTGCATTTTCCATCAGACAATATCTGGAATAAATATTATTTTGAAACTTAAATCAACAGAACCCAAATTTGCGGCTTTTAATAATTTGATAACAGTGAGAAAATAATATTTTCAAGATAGCAGGCTCCTCGGTTGATTGGTTTCGGCTTGTGCTTTTACAATGACGTCAAACTTGTACGTTCGCTCCGATCTGTCGAGTCATCAATTATCGCTCTATCCGGTTCAGTGCTGCTTAACTTCCCGTTCCTCTTCGCTAAACGTATACTGTTCCGAATCGTGATTTATTAAAAATCTGCTCGTTAAAAGAATTATACCTAATTTTAATCAGAACAGCTTTTACGCAGTGTCCCGTAATAGATAGTACAACCGGAGAGGTAGTGTTTTACAAAAGGTAAATGAAAAATATAGAATAAAATCTTTTTATATTTTTTTTCGAAAACAAAGTCTGATATAAAAAAATTTTGTTGTACGTTTTTTTACCTAGTTTTTCATTTAGAGAGTCGCTACCGTCCAAATTGTATCAACGTTGTAGAACAACATTCTGTGTAATCAACATCGATTTCTAAAACTAATTAAAAAAATATTTCGCAAAAAATAAAGATAAAAAATTATTGATTATATTCATATTTATTTATATTTATATTTATATAGAAAGGAAATTGAAGAATTCAGACTGTTGTCGGCGAATTGTAATTAGAGTATGAAGAATGTATCAGAAAGATACATTCTTGACGGGCGACAGTAATTACTCATTCTAACAAAGATAAATTTCCGATGACGAATTTAATAGTGATAGATTGTGAAAAGTTTGTCCCGTGCCATTTTTATCCTCGAGCTGTCCATTAATCGCATCGCGGCTATCGCGAGTGTAGAAATCGAGGTTAATCCGCGTTTCATAGTATCTGATCTCGGACATCGGCGACGGGCTTGGACGTTGACGCATCGGTTAATGGACACCCGACTCCCCCGAAGAGTATTTACTCTCTGTGCGAACCAGAGACACAATGCACGCGATGACAACACGGTCGTGCATGTGTCATAGATTGGTCCTAGTCATCATTCAATAATCAGTCGTGTAGCATCGTAATTGCGACGCGAGCTCAAGGACAAATTGAGATGAATTCTTTTATTCGCGATAGATACAGATCGTATCTCTCTTCACAGGCTCAAATATCAAAGAGCGAATAAAAAAAAAAATGCGCCAAGATTGATAAATTATATCTTTAATCTTTAATTAGCTGCCTTCGACTCGATAGTGTAATTAATCGTTTTAAATTCTTACAGATTCGTTATCTTTTCTGTTCTTTGCAGTCACTACATTCCAGATTAATAACTTACGTATGATTTCCATTTACGTATGCTTTAACTTCGTTTAATAAATGAGCAATTTTGATTCATCAGATTAAAAGAAAAGAATATGATCTATTCACAAATGTATTATATATTAGCTTTTCATTTATCATATATTTTTGCCGAATGGACGGATTATAATCTTAATTAAAAAAGATAATTATTTTTACATTTGGTCTATGAAAATAAATCAGTTATTTTAGATGTACTTTGTTTTGCAAATTAAATTTCTTAATGTTATCTCTTCACTTTTTATGCGTTTTAATATGAGAAAAATATTTCTTTTCACATTTCTCTTAATTTCTCTTTTCAAGTTTTCGGTACCATGACTAAAATGTGTTTCTTCTTTCGTTCTCCAGACTCTTACTACAGTTACACTGGGTGGAATGGCAAGTCGTCATTCGATCACCAATCTACAAATATTAGATTGATCGATGGTCATAACATAGAAAGGATACGCCGAGAAACTCTCGAGAAATCGGTAGTGACGACTGAACAGGAAGCGTCCAAGACCCCCCCATCGGCGCAATCGCAGCAACAGCAGCCGCCACAACTGCAACAGCAAGCACAACCGCAACAGCAGCAACAACCGCAACAACAACAAACGCAGCAGCCATCGCAGCAACAACAGCAGCAGCAGCAACAACAACAAGTGCCGGTGACACAGTTAGCGACCAACACATCCGCTGACGAGACGCATTCTACAGAGACGCATTCGACCAATACAACCTCCACTACTGTCCGACCAAGCAGTCATTATTTATCTCCTGCTCCCCCAAACCCCAAGCTGATGTACAATGAGACACAAACCTCGAACCCTGCCACCTCTGATACAGTAGGTGTTATCATTGATGAATTCATCAATGATAAGCAAAATCTTTCCAATTGTTAATCGTGTAAAATCATGAAAATGTTTAACAATTTTCCGCTTGTTAATCTATTTGCAGGCAACGTTGCACGTGAATACCCTGTCAAATCGCAATATTACCGTCGGCAAGGAAGAGCAGTCGGAAACGACAGCGGTAAAGGATACGAATGCGGAGCATAAGGATACGGCGGGCGAGGACGCTGTAAGGACCGACGATATCGGTGATATCTCTATCAGCAAATTCTCCGACGTGACCAACACTACGCTTACACAGAACAACATTACCAAGACGGTCTACGATACGCATCAGTATTACAACAGCACCTTCATCGTTGATGCCGATATCTGCAAGAAATATTGGATCGACATGGACAATCACCCGGATCTTAGGATCAATCATCTGCTTAGCCAGAGTCATCGACGCGCCGCGGTGAGACTCTTTTCTCACATTGTAATAACAGTTATTAAGAGAATAGACAGTTATTGAAAATAATATAAAAAAATATCAATTATATTACGCGCTGGTTGTCTCTCTCTCTCACTTTTATACTAAAAGTGAGATGACTAAAAGAAAAAGCAATTAGGGTATATCAAATATGAACGTAACATATATATCAGTATTAAATTCAATTTCTGTTGCAACGAACGATTAATTAAAACTTGGAAACGCAAGATCGATCGGTTCATTAATCTCGCTGAGAATAAATTTCAGGATTGAGCCACACACAATCTCTGTCTAATGTTGCAGACCGTCAAGCTAAAGTTCGATTTTCCGTTCTACGGCTATAACGTGCGCAATATCACCATCGCTACCGGCGGTTTTCTATACACCGGTGACTACGTGCACAGCTGGCTGGCCGCCACCCAGTACATTGCACCACTCATGGCGAATTTTGATACTCGCCTGTCGAACGCTAGCTACGTCAAGTACGCTGACAACGGTGAGTCATCGGAATCTCGATTGACGGCACTTTCGTGCCACCACGAAGGACGTTCGTTCTTTCATTTTCCTCCTAAATGAAAGTCAATCATCGTCGCAATCCCACGGAGCCCATTACGGATCGAATCACTCGAGAGATTCTTCGCCTGTTTGCGAAGTTTACCGCGACTAGTATACTTGAAATAACTCGTGCTTTTAAAATTTAAAGAAATTCTATTACGAGCAAGTTCTCCTAAAATGCTTTTTAAAACGTTCGATTGGCTTCTCAAATCTCTCTAAATCGATCGATTTTTCAAGTCCTTTCTCCTCGGGCTGATGGTGTCGCAAAACGTCGGTTCGCGTCGGCAGCCTCAATCAACAGCCTCTATAGGGGCTCTACAGGGGCGGAGAACGAGGGGAGAAGGATAAATCGGCACGACAATTTGCCGGTCGTAATTACACGCCTTGTCGAGCAACCGGTGGCGAAGAAACGCGGCGCAAAATGTAGTCGGAGTTGTATCCGGATCGATTGGCGTGCGATTGTTATATCCTCTTTTCGATTTGTACAACAGGTACGGCATTTACGGTTGAGTGGGAGAAGGTAGTGCTGCAGGACAGGCAAGATGCCGGCGCGTTCACTTTCCAAGTGACCTTGCATCAGAATGGAGATATCGTGTTTGTCTACTCGGTGATACCACTCCTGGTCGAAAAGATTCTCGACAAGACGCATCCTGTCAAGGTCGGCCTCAGCGACGCCTACATCATGGACCGAACCGTATTCTGTGAGTGTTCGCTGGTTCATTACTCACTTTGCCCGTTCGTCCGCTGAACGGTGATTGCGTAACCATCACGGGACAATATTCGCACGTCATCGCTACTATTGATCATCGGCTCGTTCTATGCGAAAAACTCTTCTATGCGAATAGGCGAGTTTTAGGCGACGGTAGATCCAGTCGAAGAAATGGCCGGAAATTATATGCGAAGTAACGTAATTTCTACGACTTTCTACGACGATGACAAAACTCGCATAGTCCAGCATTTCCGGAATAGAAGCGAACAAGAAAATTCGCGATGTAATATGTGGACGAAATTATCACGCCCAAGATATTTATTATATTTAACGTAAATATTAAGAAATTTAAATATTATTTACAAATTTAGATCCAGAAATTCTCAAGATGTTATCTTGATAAACATATCAAGAGTTATCGTTTAATTCATATGAATAAGTATCTAAGAGCTAAATATCTAAAATTTAAATATTTAAAAACACATTTCAAAGATTTAATTCGCTCATCTCGTTTCGCAGTCGTGCGCAGAAAAACCATCTACGAGTACCACCGTGTCAATTTCAATCGGCAGGACATAATGAACTGCACGGTCATCTATCTAAAAGCTTTGCCCACGTGTCTCAACTTTGACAACTGCCGGGATTGCTTGACAAAGGTGCCTGACTTCGAGTGCAAATGGTGTCCAGAGCTGAACAAATGCAGCACCGGTACGTCTCGACAGAGGCAGGAATGGCTGCTGAAGGGCTGCGACGTTCGTAATATTAAGGAAGCGGACAGTTGTCCGGCACAAATTACGACCTACAAGGGCGATCAGTACGACCACGACGGCCACGTGCATCCGGAGGAGTCGATCACCACCAATGAGATGGGCGTGAAACGGAGCGATCCGGCAACAGTTCCTTGGAGAGTTCCAGTAAATATCTTCGTTTGTCATTGCTCGTTTGTCATTGCGTAGCTTAAAACTCTCTATCGAGCGAACTCGGAAAAATCATAA